CCCCCCCAGGACTTAGTGAAGGTGGAATTGTCCAGGTGTTTGATACGTAGGGGACTCGTCTTTTTTAAACAGTGGCGCATCAGGTCTGTGAGTCCCCCATTCATTCTCCTGACTCGGGCCCTGCACCCGTTGGGAGGGACCCGCCTCTCTTCAGGCCCCAGGCCCGTGACCACTGGCTTGTTTGTTGGGTGAGCTCAGTAAAGACGTTCTTTCTAAGTCCCATGGGGTGGCTGACATTGCCTGTGCCCACCCTGAGGGGGTCAGCCAGAGCCCCACCTCCTGCCGGGGCGGAGGAGCTTCTGTCCAAGCCCTCACCCTGTTGGCCCAGAGGGTGGCCCTCAGGGTGGGGAGGTCTCCTCTCCACTTCCTGCCACCTCCTGTCCCTTCTCTGCCAGGTCACTGCCACCGCCCACCCAGATGCTCACGTCAGGCCCAGGAGTCCCTGAGGCTCCTCCCTCCTTCGCCCCCACACCCGGGTGTGGTTTGGTCTCCTGCCTGGACCACCCCCACTCAGCCCCCCAGGGGTGGGGGTCTCTTCAAGGCTGAGGGACACACAGGGACAAGCAGGGGGATACAGCCTCAGGGACAGGCGCCATTTCAAAAACCATAAGAAAATAAAATGACAGTGTTGAGGTAATAAACGTAGAAACTTCTGGGAAAGGAATGAATGGGTTTTCCAGGCAAATGTTCATTACCCAGAATCCTCCCGCGGCCGGTAGGGTTAGAGCCCCACCTGGGAGGAGACCCCCCAGTGGACCACCTGCCTGCTACCTGACCCCGGTCCAGAGCCTTTGACCTTTGACGGACCTGGCGCATCCAGCTGGAGACACGGTTCTGTAGCAAAAATAAAGACAAGATGAGGGTCTTTTCGTTCTTTCTTCAGAGCTGGGAAAGTGAACCCAACAAAGGCAGCGAGAGAGCTCCTGTCCCCCCTCCTGAAGAAAAGAGCTCAGTAAAATAACCAATAGGGAACAGCCAAATATTTTTTTAAAAGTCCTGATCAAGAGCATTTTCTGGGAAAACAAGGCCAATAATACTAACAAACGTGTCCGTGGAGAGCGAGCCCTGGGGAGGCCCAGGAGGGCGGGGT